CTGAGAGGGCAAGACTCGGCGCGAGGTGGCGTGGTAAAACTGCCAACCAGGCGCGTCCGGGACAAAGCCGAGGAAGACGCAGGGAACAGCACGGGAGGAGAGCTTGTCCGCAGACGTATCGCGGACAAAAGCTCGAGATCCCCAGACCCGGAAACGCGACGCATCGCCAACCTCCCCCGTCCACAGCAGTGTGGGCGAGGTCTCCGGCAAGGAGACACGGGGCCAGAGGTTGAGCTGATGCGCAGCGTACCGGACCGCAAACGGCCACAGAAAGTGGGGGGCAGCCGCATGGATCAAGGAGGTACGGGCGACCTCCATGACCAGGCCAATGCGGCGCTCTGCAACCCCATTCTGCTGTGGAGAGGCCGGAAGCGTGAACGACTGCTCAATGCCGTGCTCAGCACAGTATGCTGCCAAGAGGTCGGAGGAGAACTCACCACCTCTGTCAGAGTGCAAGCGCAGGACAGGAAAGTCCGAGTGAAAACGCTCGCTGAGCTGGAGACGGGCTCTGCGGATCCAAGGGATCAAGACATCAGGGACCTCACCCTTGGTGCGCAAGGGGAAGACCGTGGTGTAGCGCGAGTAGTCGTCAACAACTATCAGGAAGTACCTCTCCTGACCCTGACCACGGACGCGGGCTGGGCCCCACACGTCCATGTGGAGCGTCTGCAAGGGAGCAGTAGTCGGGGGAAACGAGGAGGAGTGAGGAGCGGCGCGCTGCCGCCCCTCGACACAGGGAAGGCAGGGAGGAGCGGGCGAGGGCGGGAGGGGAGGGAGGACCCTGGGAAGACCAGAGACAAGGTACCGGGAGTGCATGGCACGAAGGCGCTGCACAGACGGGTGACCAAGTCGGTGGTGCCAGAGGACAGTCTCGTGCGCCAGAGAGCGACACGAGCAGGGGGCAGAGAGCTGACCTGACGCGGACGCAGACGAAGACGCAGCGACCTGAGGGGACTCAGTGGTCAGTGTGTACAGGTCCGACCCCGGCTGCCGTGTGAAGGTAGCCAAGTGGCGGCCCGTACGAGCACACGTGCAGTGGGTCACGCGCTCGTAGGCAGGGGTGAACTGGTGAACACCCCCGTCCTGGAGTGCACAACCTGCCACCAAGTTCGTAGAGAACGAGGGGAGGTGGAGACCTGACAGTGTGCCCGACGGGACCGCAGGACAGGGAAGGACAGTGGAGGAGGTCGCAATGACCGGACCCCCAGAAGGGTCAGCGAGGGAGACAGCAACTGGCCGAGTAAGCGGCTCAAGGGCAGTGCGGTCACGAAAGAAGCAGCGAGAAGCACCTGAGTCCAGCGTGAAGGTGTGCAGTGCTGCAGTCGACTCAGTACCAGGGGGGGCAGACGTACAAGCACCTAGAGCAGCTGCCTCACCAGCACCTGGGGTAGCAAACACGTGAGTACCTGGAGGGGCAGACGCACTAGTCCTAATGCCCGGGTCGGGCGGCACACACAGGTACTCAGCACCCTCTCCACTAGTAGACATCACATACATAGCAGTTAGAATAGCATCAAAGTCTAGAGCATAGATATCAATCCCCTTCTTCAGGAGATCAACCCAGCGGGGCAGCTCAGTGGCCTGAGGGAACTGAACACGCCAAGCGTCGTTGAGACGAGCGAAGCAGCGCTGTGTGGCGTGCGGTCCCCCACACGGCTGACCAGTGCGGTCACCAGTGCGAATGACGTACGTGCAGCTAAAGCCACCCCCCCCCCCCGTGCTGAGAGTACCACTCACGGACCTCCTGGGGCGACGGAGTGTGCTGCTGGCCCTGGCCACCGCCAGCGCCTCCACGACCACCACCGCCGCTGCCACCTCCTCGACCACCCCAACCCCTGCCGCCGCCGCGTCCACTGCCACCCCCACCACCGCCTCCGCCCCTGCCACCTCCCCCGCCGCTGCCGCCACCACCCCCACCGCTGCCACTAGCCCCTCCAGTCGCGCCACCACCCCCACCACCGCCACCGCCCCCACCACCGCCTCCCCCGCTGTCACCGCCACCGCCCTTGCCCCCTTTGCCCTTGCCGCTGCGGCGCCCGCTCAAAGCAGACGCAGTCACGACCTTCTCAGCACCAAGGAGGTCGACAGCAGCAGCAGAGGCGACAGAGGGAAGAAGGGGGGAAGGAGAACACCCCTCAAAGAACGGGGTACGGGGGTCGCCACGAGAGGCAGCTACAGCGACTATGCTAGCCTCAGCTGCAAGGAGTTCCTTCTCGAGGAGGGCAATGGTGAGCTCAGTGGGGCATCGAGCTAGGAAGTGGTCCCTGACTGAGCGCAGAGTGTCAGGGAGGCGGGTGACTAGGTGGTAGAGAGTGAGCCAGAGCGGGGGTGGGTTCTTGGCAAGGAACTCATCAGGCATGGCGGCGCGGAAGCGAGCTTCACTAGTGCGGAGGTGCGTAATGAGGTCAGCGACTGTGTGGAAAGAGGCTAAGTCGGGGAACAGGTAGGGAAGAGAGAGACGGCCTAGTGCGGCAGAGGCCGGTGAGGAGTAGCGGGCAACGACAGCAGTGTACAGTGCCTGTGCAGTCTTGTGCTGCCCAAAGTGCTCGCGCTCATCTATCGGCAGGGAGTTGTGAATAGCGAAGCGAGCGTGGGCGTCACGAGTCTGCCACTGTGAGCGGGTGGTGCTGTCAGCAGTAGCAGCAGGAGCAGTAGCATGGCCTAGGGCGTGATCGTACAGTGAGATGTCCTCCTTGGCAGTGAGCTGTAGGAAGAGGTGTAGGTCATCTAGCCAGGTTTCGAACCTCACTGGGCGGCCCTCAGTATCGAAAGCTAGCACAGGAGGGCTAGCCATAGCAGTAGTAGGAGTAACAGTAGAGTAGCAGTAATAGCAGTAGGTGCACCCCAGAAACAGTAGGCAGTGCGACTCAGGTAGGGCGGCTCCGTCCAGTACGGGCGGCGCGGCTCGGTTCAGGTGGCGCGGCTCGATTCGGGCTGGGCGGCTCGGTTCGGGCGGCTCGGTTCGGGCTGGGCGGCTCGGTTCGGGCTGGGCGGCTCGGTTCGTGCGGCTCGTTCTGGCGGGGCCGTTCAGGGCCTCTAGGGGCGAGCGCGGGGCCGTTCGAGGCCTCTAGGGGCGAGCGCGGGGCCGTAAGGGGCCGCTAAAGGCGAGCGCGGGGCCGTTCGGGGCTTGTAGGGGCGAGCGCGAGGCCGTAAGGGGCCGCTAAGGGCGAGCGCGGGGCCGACGGGTGGCCTCTAGGGAGGTGAGCGCGAGGCCGACGGGGCCGTTAGGGGCGATCGCGGGGCCGACGGGGTCGCTAAGGGGCTAGCGCGTGGGCCGACGGGGCCTTAAGGGGCGGCGCGTAGGTCGCTAAGGGGCGGGTCGCGGGGCCTTAGTGGGCCGTGAAGCACGAGGCGCCCTAGGGCGTAGTAGGTAGGTAGGTAGGTAGGTAGTGGTGGGCCCTAAAAACGGTCCTAGTGAAGGACCTGCTCTATACCATGTTGAGATGAACAAAGAGGAATGGTGGAAATAACAGTGAAATGAGTACAAGTACCTAACCCTAGAATTGTGTACCCCCTATAGACTAACCCACTATAGCCTAAACAAGCACAACATATATAATGTTTGACAAGAACGAGGCACATGGCCCACACTTTGAAACCCACAGGGAGGGCAGGTGCCCTCCAGTTTGCCCTCAGGTGCGCCTGCTGGAATGGGGAAGGTGCGGGCACAAGCGAGGGAGGGGCTGGTTTTAATGAGACACCATGGCCTTGTGAATCACGCAAGGTGCCCTCCAGTTTGCCCTCAGGTGCGCTTGCTGGGTGGGGAAGGTGGGGACACAAGGGAGGGAGCTGCTGGTTAGAACAAGGCACACGGCCCTTGCTGAGAAGCCCGCAAAAATGGCTGGTGCCCTCCAGTTTGCCCTCAGGTGCGCCTGCTGGGTGGGGAAGGTGGGGACACAAGGGAGGGAGCTGCTGGTTATAACAAGGCACACGGCCCTTGCTGAGAGGCCCGCAAAAATGGCTCGTGCCCTCCAGTTTGCCCTCAGGTGCGCCTGCTGGAATGGGGAAGGTGGGGGCACAAGGGAGGGAGGGGCTGGTTTTAATGAGACACCATGGCCTTGTGAATCACGCAAGGTGCCCTCCAGTTTGCCCTCAGGTGCGCCTGCTGGGTGGGGAAGGTGGGGACACAAAGGAGGGTGCTGCTGGTTAGAACGAGGCACATGGCCCACACTTTGAAACCCACAGGGAGGGCAGGTGCCCTCCAGTTTGCCCTCAGGTGCGCCTGCTGGAATGGGGAAGGTGGGGGCACAAGCGAGGGAGGGGCTGGTTTTAATGAGACACCATGGCCTTGTGAATCACGCAAGGTGCCCTCCAGTTTGCCCTCAGGTGCGCCTGCTGGGTGGGGAAGGTGGGGACACAAGGGAGGGAGCTGCTGGTTATAACAAGGCACACGGCCCTTGCTGAGAAGCCCGCAAAATCTGGCTGGTGCCCTCCAGTTTGCCCTCAGGTGCGCCTGATCGAATGGGGAAGGTGGGGACACAAGGGAGGGAGCTGCTTGTTAGAACGAGGCACATGGCCCACAATGTGAAACCCGCTAAAATGGCAACGGTTGGGGTTTTTTTCCCTCAGGTGCGCCTGCTGGAAGGGGAAGGTGGGGGCACAAGAGAGGGAGCGGCTGGTTAGAACGAGGCACATGGCCCACACTTTGAAACCCACAGATATGGCAGGTGTGCTGCAGGTTGCCAGCAGGTGTGCCTGCTGGAAAGGGAAGGGGGGGGCACAAGGGAGTTGGGCTTTGTGAGAACGAGGCACAAGGGTCTGTATGGTCCCGCAGCAATGGCAGGTGCACTGCAGTGGCAAAAGAGGGGGTGAGACAGGCGTGGGGGGTAAGAAAGAAGGCGTGGGTTGGGCTTCGCCTTACCAGCACAATGTTCGGCACAAAAGGCTCCAGGAGAGAGGGTTCCGACCACTTCCCTCCCGCGATCCGGTCGAGCAATGCGGATGTTGAAGCGCTCGTACAGCATCACACGGCCCATTGTGTGGACCTTGTTGCGGGCATCCTAATGCTGCTTTCGGAGGTGGCCCGGGCGCGTTTTCTCGTTCTCCATGACCAGCCGCACTTTCGCAACGTAGTCAGCATCGGTGATACCGATATCGGTGCAAAGTGCGGTGATGTTGGTGTCTCGCGGCGTCCAATACTCAAGGTCGACATCGGGCATCTCGAAGTACATGATTTCCACTGCACGCTTCGCCGCTCCCTGACGCCGGAGCAAGGGGAGTTTAGGGTGGAAGGGGGGAAAGATGAAAGGGAGGGGAGTGGAGGGCAGTGGCGGGGAAGGGGTTGGGGGAGGCGGGAGCTTTGGATGATGGGGCGGATTGGGATACATGTGAGGTGAAGAGGCACAAGGGAAGGCGCATATGCATAACACACATGCTGCTGGATGGTTCCATTCAAATTTAGAAGACGCGAACCACCTCCACAACAAGCATGCACTCTGACCAACGGACCTTAAAACCGTTGTGCATGTCGGGGACGCCCGCCAAGGCGGCGGCGTAGCGGTGAGCCCACGTCAGCTGCATGCTTGACAGTTGTTGCAGGTCCAGTATGACGCCTCGCTTGTGCGCCAGCTTCACCGCGTTTTGGATGGCATTTCGGTTCGGCTCCACACGAAGGACGCTGGGGACCGGTGGCAGCATAGTAGCAGCTGCCACACCGTTATTGCGCGTTGCGTTCCCACCCGCACCTGCCTGCCCGCTCCCATCCAGCGGTGCATCCTCGGCTTGGCCAATGTCGGGGGAGTTTGCCAGGTTGCTGCTGCCCTCTCCTCCATTGTTCGACGGTGAGTTCGCCGCAGCCCGCTGCATGTTGCGACGCTCGTTCTCATACTCCATAAGGCGGCGCCGGAACTCACGGTTCTCCCTTTGTGTGTCCTCAAATTCGGCTCGAGTAACACTGTCGATGATCTCGTTCCCCTCCTCTGCATCGGGATCTGCCGACAACGGCACAAATCCAGGATTGGGCATTTCTGGCTCAATCTCCGGAAACCCTTCGGGATCCGCAGGTTGGTCATAGTCCTCTTGGTCTTCGTCATCACTGAGATCATAGCCCGTGAAAGGCCTTGATGAGTTTGGCTGCTGCTGTACATGGCCATTCCGTGGGGAGGGAAGAGCTGATGTGGGCTGCTGCTAACACAGAGGCGACGTGGGCTGCTGCTGATGCAGAGGCGACGTGGGCTACTGCTGATGCAGAGGCGACGTGGGCTGCTGCTGATGCAGAGGCGACGTCGGCTGCTGCTGCTGTAGAGGGTACGTGGGCTGCTGCTGATTCTCAAGCGACGTGGGCTGCTGCTGATTCTCAAGCGACGTGGGCTGCTGCTGATTCTCCAGCGACGTGGGCTGCTGCTGATGCAGAGGCGACGTGGGCTGCTGCTGCTGCATAGGCGAGATGGGCTGCTGCTGATGCTGCACACGCGCGTGATGTTGAAGAGTCGATGTGCCCTGATGCTGCTGCCCATTGGTTTCCTGATGCAGCGGTGCTGACAGCTGCTGCTGAAGCAGCGTTGTTGACGGGTGCTGCTGATGCAGCGTTGCTGTCGGCTGCTGCTGATGCAGCGTTGCTGACGGCTGCTGCTGATGCAGCGTTGCTGACGGCTGCTGCTGATGCAGCGTTGCTAACGGCTGCTGCTGATGCAGCGTTGCTCACGGCTGCTGCTGATGCAGCGTTGCTGACGGCTGCTGCTGATGCAGCGTTGCTGACGGCTGCTGCTGATGCAGCGTTGCTGACGGCTGCTGCTGATGCAGCGTTGCTGAGGACTGCTGCTGATGCAGCGTTGCTGACGGCTGCTGCTGATGCAACGTTGCTGACGGCTGCTGCTGATGCAGCGTTGCTGACGGCTGCTGCTGATGCAGCGTTGCTGACGGCTGCTGCTGATGCAGCGTTGCTGACGGCTGCTGCTGATGCAGCGTTGCTGACGGCTGCTGCTGATGCAGCGTTGCTGACGGCTGCTGCTGATGCAGCGTTGCTGTCGGCTGCTGCTGATGCAGCGTTGCTGACGGCTGCTGCTGATGCACGGGCGAGGTGGGATGCTGCGCGTGATGAGAAAGAGACGACGTCCCGTGCTGTTGCAGCCCATTGGCATGCTGATGCAGAGCTGAGGGCGGCTGCTGCAGATGCTGGCGATCACCAGGCAGAGAAGATGCAGAGTTCAGCTGATGCTGCAGCCCATTGGCTTGCTGAGACAGGAAGGGCGTGGGGTGCTGCTGATGCTGGCCGTGTGTCCCCAAGTGCTGCAGAGCTACACCGACTGGTCTGGCACCAGGCGGCACAGTAGCGCGCCTCCCACCACTGCGGCGTCCGACAACGGTCCGAACAGAGTTCGATGTTCTTGAAGCGGGCAGTTGTGTCGATCCCAGTAGCGAGGTAAGAGACACTATCCGTTCGCCTGCACAAAATGCAGCACGAATGGCGTCAGATGCGGAACAAGGGCTAAAGGACAGGCACATCAAGGACTGCAACGGTGAAATGCAAGGCTCACACTTTGAACGATACGGGAATGGAAGGCTCACCAGTGGTGGGCGTGGTGGAAGCAGCTGCACCGGCCGAAATTCCAGCAGGGGGCTGACCTAGGATACGGACTGATTCCAGTGCTGCTGCGAACCTGCTGTGCTGTCCTTTAGTGGGTCGATCTGAGCGTCGTGGTCCTGAGGATGCCATTGTAGAGGAAAATCAACTTTGGTCAGTTTGGAAAACTGACTGAAAGTATGTTTTCCCATTCTATTTATAGGGAACGCTGCTTAGATTAAACACGAGATCAACCTAAGCTCAGCTAGCAGAGCATCACGATTAACGATAGGCTAGGTGATCAAAGGCGTCATGGTTCAGAGAGGTGTAGAGTGGCATCGACCATCTCTGATTCAAATTTCGAAAGTTTAAGAAAGGAGGCTCACGTAACTGCTCCGCGGTCGTGTCTGTGGTGTCGCGCGCGGGGTACTTTAGCAGGAGCGTGACTCAACCGAGACAGACGAGTGCATTGCTGAGTTGTCTCGGGGACAACTCAGCAATGCCTTTCGAAACCCCGTTGGTGTGGGGAGAGGTGAGCTAGGGTTTCACGCTATGGTCGCCATTGCCTGGCAAGCTTGGTCCCTACACGGGGTCGTTTTGCAGCAAGGCCACACAAACGGTGTGGGTAAGGTATAAGGTCGAGCCGCTAACGACCCTGAACAACTTCGAACTCACTAGAAACTGGAAAATCGAGAAGAACAAAATGTCATGCTTAAATTGATCTCTTAAAAAAAAAACTCTTCTCAATGTTGCCATTATCGTAGCCACAAATTTGTCTAAGTGTTGCAGGTGGTATGATTGCAATTGATTAGGTTCAGGGAGCCCCTCTGATTTTGAGTAAGTATCCTACTTCATCTCGTTGGCTGTTGTGATGCTCCCACTGCAAACATGTTTCGATAAATATTCTGGGATCATAATCATGTTTCTTGTAGTCAACAATATCAGAGTTCTTACGAACGGTGGAATGGGAACGTCAATTCTTCTTGCCATAGAAACTGATTTGGGCTCTTTCGCACAACTACGCAGCACGTGACGCTTGTTTGTGCTTCGGATGGGCTGAAACTGTGCAAGGACTGGCCGGTACGCAACATGTCACCGTTTTGCCATTTTGTTGTTTTCTTTAGCACCATTTCTTCACATATTCAGTTAGTTCACTCAATTCCCTTGCCATAGAAACTGATTTGGGCTCTTTCGCTCAACTACGCAGCACGTGACGCTTGTTTGTGCGTCGGATGGCCTGAAACTGTGCCAGGACTGGCCGGTACGCAACATGTCACCGTTTTGTCATTTTGTTGTTTTTTTTAGCACCATTTCTTCACAGATTCAGATATTTAACTCAATTCCCTTGCCATAGAAACTGGTTTGGGCTCTTTCGCACAACTACGCAGCACGTGACGCTTGTTTGTGCGTCGGATGGCCTGAAACTGTGCAAGGACTGGCCGGTAAGCTACAAGTCACCGTTTTGTCATTTTGTTGTTTTTTTTAGCACCATTTCTTCACAAATTCAGTTATTTCACTCAATTCCCTTGCCATAGAAACTGGTGTGGGCTCTTTCGCACAACTACGCAGCACGTGACACTTGTTTGTGCGTCGGATGGCCTGAAACTGTGCAAGGACTGGCCGGTACGCTACATGTTACCGTTTTGTCATTTTGTTGTTTTTTTTTAGCACAATTTCTTCCCAGATTCAGTTGTTTCACTCAATTCCCTTGCCATAGAAACTGGTTTGGGATCTTTTGCACAACTACGCAGCACGTGACGCTTGTTTGTGCGTTGGATGGCCTGAAACTGTGCAAGGACTGGCCGGTACGCTACATGTCACCGTTTTGTCATTTTGTTGTTTTCTTTAGCACCATTTCTTCACATATTCAGTTAGTTCACTTAATTCCCTTGCCATAGAAACTGGTTTGGGCTCTTTCGCACAACTACGCAGCACGTGACGCTTGTTTGTGCGTCGGATGGCCGTAAACTGTGCATGGACTGGCCGGTACGCTACATGTCACCATTTTGTCATTTGGTTGTTTTCACGGGTTCATGTTGTTCCCTCAATACCCTTGCCATAGGTACTGGTTTGTGCACATTCGCACAACTACACACCACACTTTCCATAGATTTGCAAGTCACAACAGTTATTGAATGAACTATAAAGTAAGTGAATGCTCGTTTTAGAGAGGCATCCCAAAAGATAGCTATCTTGCCACCACCTAGAGGACAAGGCAGCTTGTGTCAGCACTTTTTGGTTGCATGATGCCTAAGGGACTCTGCATTAAATACTTGGCATGTGATGGCAGGAGGTAACATGTGGTGCTAACCAATAGGAAACCACACATGTGGGCAACAATCAACGTGGTACCTTCTAGATGCACAAGTGTCCTATTCTTTCCACCCTTTTTGCTGTATGGCACTAAATCTACTGTTGTTGGAATGAGCACATGCTATGAACAGTTGTCCAGACTTAATTGTTTGTTGAAGAAGGTTTAGCACAAGCTACCAATGTGATGTTGCTATTGAGTGCATCAAACAGGCCCTCCAGGTGGACATTGCTGCTGGGCTAGACATTGTGTGGATAGGGATGAAAGTAGCCAGCTGCTGCTCTGCTAGGAAGTTTCCATAGAAGGTGCAATGCTGTCATACAGTTCCACTGTTCAACCATACTGCCACCATGCTGTTTGTGATGTCACAACCACAGTTGCCAAGCGTTTAGCATTGTCAGCAACATCCATTGTGGAATGAACTAACCAACATTGATAAAGACAACTTGAAAATGGACCATCTTCCAACTGTGTTTGGTACTGCTTCCAAACAGTGGTTGATGGACAAGCCCTACCACTGGTTCAAGTGGCTTGGGTGCACTGTTTGTACAGGTGTAAGCTGCCATGTGGCTGTTTCTGGTGTTTAGGGCCAGTCCTTTTGACCATTGTCGGATTCTTGCACCTAGCCATCTGAACCACTGAAGTGTTGTGTCACGGGCGGCAAACTCCTGGTCTCTTCCAGCGCCTACCCCAGACTGCCTCTCGTCGACTGCTGCCCAGACTCCTTCCGCCTTGCTTTCTCACGTCCTCTCCCTGTGAGAAGCTAATGTTTGCTGATCTAGTACTGCTTGACTAACTCCACTCCTGCATCATCTCGTCCTACTCCAGCTTACACCTTGCATGGCATTGTGACGCCTATACGCTCGTGGTCAACGATTGTGTGGTGAGCAATCCCATACGAATACCCTTAGTTCACATTCTCGTTACACCGTGCGATACTCGCACGTCGCCTTTCCCACCAACTTTCCCGCCATCTTGAGCCTCTTTTAAAGCTACATTCCATTAGTATGTCCGCATCGCATTTAGAGAACCCTCCTCCTAACCCTAATCTCGTGACCGTCATGCAGGAGTACTCACAAGCGACACGGTTCTCGTTTTACGACCATCGTGTCTTGGGCCTAGCGTAGGTACCGTTGTGTCTCGTTTGTTCTGAGTGGCGAAACCCAGTGGCTCGTCGCAAGTGGCGTGCGCCGGTATCCGCTCGCGGGGGGCACGGTGTGTGAACCCGGCTGTCGCGGGCGTGTCGCGTGGGGTGATCGCCGGAATCCGCAGGCGTGTCGCACGGTGGGAGCTCCGGAATTCGCAGGCGTGTCGCACGGTGGGAGCTCCGGAATCCGCAGGCGTGTCGCACGGTGGGAGCTCCGGAATCCGCAGGCGTTTCGCGCGGTGTGAGATCCGGGGTCCGCAGGCGTGTCGCTTGGTGCGTGCGCCAAAATCGCCCTCTCCCATCCTGCCATCTTCCCCTCTCTCTTGCTGTCTACTGCACTGCCGTCCTCTCCCCTCCCATCCTGCCCTCCTCTCTCCTCCCATCATGCCCTCCCATCCTCTCACATCCTGCCCTCCCACCATCTCTCATGCTGTATCCATCCTTGCCCATCTTGCCCTTGTATCCTCGCTCATAGTCATTAATATCCTCTCCCACACTGCCTTCCTCTCCCCTCCCATCCTGCCCTCCTCTCCTGCCCGATCCGTCTCTCCTCTCCCTCTCCAATCCCGCTCTCTTCTCAGTCCAGGTTCTGCACAACCGTTGCTCCACGGGGTCTCGTTGGCGTGGCCAGTTGCAGCGACATCTTCCTGCCTACCTCTCCTCTCCCTTCCTGCATTCCTCTCCTCTCCCTTCAGTTTGATAGTGCGTCTCCCATCCTGATCTCCTCTCCGCTCCTCTTCAGCTATCATCTCCTCCCATCCTGATCTCCTCGCCTCTCCCATCCTGCTCTCCTCTCTTCTTCTCTCCTGATCTCCTCTCCGCTCCTCTTCAGCTATCCTCTCCTCCCATCCTGATCTTCTCGCCTCTCCCATCCTGCTCTCCTCTCTTCTTCTCTCCTGATCTCCTCTCCGCTCCTCTTCAGCTATCCTCTCCTCCCATCCTGATCTCCTCGCCTCTCCCATCCTGCTCTCCTCTCTTCTTCTCTCCTGATCTCCTCTCCGCTCCTCTTCAGCTATCCTCTCCTCCCATCCTGATCTCCTCGCCTCTCCCATCCTGATCTCCTCGCCTCTCCCATCCGCTCTCCTCTAGTCTACTCTCCTGCTCTCCTCTCCTCTCCTCTCCTCCTCTCCTCTCCTTTCCTCTCCCATCCTGCTCTCTCCCCCTCTCCCATCCTGCTCCCCTCTCCTCTCCCATCCCGCTCTCCACTACTCTCCCCTCCTGCTCTCCTCTCCTCTCTCATCATGCTTTTCTCTCCCGTCATGATCTCATATCCTATCCCATCATGCTCTCCTCTCCTATCCCATGCTGCCCACTTCTGTCCATTCCTGCTCTCTTCGCAATCCGCAGGCGCGTAGCACGGTGGGAGCTACGGAATCCGCAAACGTGTTGCACTGCAGTCGCTCTGGTTTCCGCAGGCGTGTCGCACGGTGCGACCCCAAAACCCTACTCGAATTCTGCTGTGGTTTCGTTCGCTCCTATCACCTCCCTTCCTTACCTCTTCACCCCTTCCTGCCTTCATCTCCTCTCCCTTCCTGCCTACCTCTCCTCTCCCTTCCTGCATTCCTCTCCTCTCCCTTCGGTCCTCCCATCTCCTCTCCCTTCGGTCCTCCCATCTCCTCTCCCTACGGTCCTCCATCTCCTCTCCATTCATGCCCTCTTCTCCTCTATCCCTTTCTGTCCTCCCCTCTCCTCTCCCTACGGTCCTCCATCTCCTCTCCCTTCATGCCCTCTCCTCCCCTCTCACTATCTGTCCTCCCCTCTCCTCTCCCTTTCTGTCCTCGCCTCTCCTCTCCCTTTCTGTCCTCGCCTCTCCTCTCCCTTTCTGTCCTCGCCTCTCCTCTCCCTTTCTGTCCTCGCCTCTCCTCTCCCTTTCTGTCCTCGCCTCTCCTCTCCCTGTCTGTCCTCGCCTCTCCTCTCCCTTTCTGTCCTCGCCTCTCCTCTCCCTCTATGTCCGGCCCTCTCCTCTCGCGCTCTGTCCCCCCCCCCTCTCCCTTCTCCACCCAGATTCGCAGGCGTGTCGCACGGTGTGACCTCCGGAATCCGCAGGCGCGCGCAACAGTGTGGGATCCGGAATCCGCAGGCCAACTTCGCGCGGTGCGTGTGCAGAATCCTGCTCGAATTCGGCTCGGGCGTTTCAAGCGATGTGGTGACGACAATTCAGACGCAAATCGGACAGCGCACTTCACCTGCCATCCTGTGGGCCCGAATCCGGGAGGCGAGCGCCGGGCCGGAAGGCCTGACTTCGGGGCCAGCCGCACTCGCTCGGTAAAGGAGTTCGAGGGAGTGCGACCTTGTTGTGCGCGCAAGGTATGCTTACTCACCAGTTTTGTGGTGAATATCCACTCACGGGACTGGTGCACATACATGGTCTGGGATCACATGCACGACTGGGTGACACCTGCACGGTTGGGTTTTGATTTGCCGTGGTGGATGCATCCCACAAATCCGCGACTCCCGTCTTCCTTCACCGTCTCAATCTACGATGCACCTCCCATATCGTTTTATATGTTAGGGTTGTTTACTTCTCTCCCTAAACGCCCTCCGCTCCTCTCCCGTCAAACCCTCCGCTCCTCTCCTGTCAAACCCTCCGCTCCTCTCCCGTCAAACCCTCCGCTCCTCTGCCGTCAAACCCTCCGTTCCTCTCCCGTCAAACCCTCCGCTCCTCTCCCGCCTAGCCCTCTGGTTCTCTCCCTAAACCGTACCCTCCTCTCCTCTCCCATCTTGTCCTCCGCTCTGCCCACCCATTCTCTCCCATCCAGCCCACATATCCTTTCTAGACCTGCCACTCACTCCATCCTCTCCACACAGGTGCTGCACAACAGCTGTTGCCTTCGAAATCATCAGTGCGGCGTCTGCGATACCCCAAATGTACGTCAAACCTCGGGCTACATAGGTTGTGGTCAGGGCCCAAATTTCAAGGGTAAAATACCCTTTTTGCCCTGATGGTAGGCCGCTTTTTGGCAGTTACCCTTGTGAAATCAGGCTATGAAATTCTTTACCCTAGTGAAATCAGGATTCGTTGTAAACTACACTGGTAACAATTTTGGTTACACTGGCTGTATCAGGGTACGGGCCCAACTACAGTTTTACCGGATCTTTTTTTAACCGAGGATTCCGCCACAGTGCGCGCCAAGACAAAATTCTCCACGGTCCCACTGGACCATTTGTACGGTATGCCCACTGGCGCGCCAACGTAGAAGCAGTGCGGCTGCACGCGCGCTCGTACGATTGGTCCGTTAAGCAAGATTTGCGCCAACGCACCCGGGTTTAGGGCGTTCCTGTTTGTCAAACAGCCTAACAACAATTCTACCCTGGTACAATCAGTGTAACAGGATTTTTTGGCTGTTTTAGGCTGCTGGCATCAGGGTACGGAAATGTTTACCCTAAGGGTCAGGGTACGGGGGGCCTGGTACCCTGATTTGCAAGAGTGGACCTAAACCTATTTTGGGCCCTGGTTGTGGTGGTTTTGGGCTGCGGGTGTCCAGTTGCTCCAACCCAGGACTGTCAAACGTTGCTTGATGGGTTATTCAGTCTACGTATATTCGTGTCTAATACGATCTATACCTGGTACATATCACCACAGGGATAACCACGACGATCCGCAGGCCGAACGGGATGAGTTTGGAAGTCCTGCAGTCGTACCCAGGCCAAGATTGGTGATGGCGGTGAACCTTCCTTGCTTTGGAAGCTACTTCGGGATTGTCTCAGTCTGGCCAGTTTATCTGACACTAACTAATGTGGCTTTCCGGCCCACGCCAACAAGTGTGTGGGCGAGTGTACGTGAATCATTATTACGCCCTATACATGTAATTCGGTGATTTTGTCCAGTTCTGCATCCTCTGTGCACCCTCAGTAAGTGCAGGATCAACACTAAACCCTGTCCACGATATCTGCTTCTATTGTAGGTAGTTTCCAGATTGAACCGTGCCCGACACCCAGGCGTTCTTGCTCGGCTTGAGGCAAGACACCGTACGCTGTGGGAGCTTGCTGCAGACGTAGAGGTAAGAGTAGAGCAGAGCTATTTTTTGATTGTGTTTACCATGATTGACATGTGGTTGCTACTCTAAGCCCTGGTTTACCCTAATATCCTTGTTGTTTACCAACTGCAGTTACCTGAACCACAACATGCATATCTACGTATGCCGGCATTGCGGGAAGGGCTTGAAGAGCGAGTTAGGTCTAGTGAATCACCAGAGGAGTAATCAGAAGTGTTTAGCGATCCAAGAAGCAACTGCGTTTAGCACTACAGCTAGTCGTGGCATTTTGGTACCTCCACTACAACCTGTAGATTTGACGCCGCCATTTCCTTTCGTGTTTGGAGTGCAAGAACCTGTAGTAGATAGGGGAGATGGGGAAGATGGGTGGTATGACGAAGATACTGAGGTATTTTGCAACGCTGAGGTCGAGTTCGGAGAAGAGGAGGAAGAGCGCCCAATATTCGACACTAAGAAAGAGACGTTTAGGTTTATGCAGAGTTGCAATAAGGGTACAGGAATGAGCTGTCCTGACGCCAGTTACTTTTTTTAGATTAGTGAAGCAGCCAGGTTTTGATCCAGCACAGCTAGCAGATTGGACCACAAAAGCAGCTGTTGATAGGTATGGGATAGAGGCTTTAGGAGTTTCTAAGCAGGAGTTTAAGACGATCGGTGTAACTGTAAGAGGATGGCCGTCAACGTTTAATGTCAAGACTGTGGATCTGAAGCAGGTAATGTTTCATTTTGTATTTGTGTAAATTTTTTGATTGCATGAATCTGATTGAGTGTTGTTGAGTGGCAGGCCTTAGAAAGGATGTGGGGGGATAAGCGCAACGCTCCAGGATTCACACATCACGCCAAGGAAAAGATGGTGGATGATATTAGAGTGTACGATGCAGCTCACAACGGGGACTATTGGTTGGGCGCTCAGGTAAAGAAAATGTTGGGAGTGGGATGTGAACTATTGCACTAGCCAGCAACAATTCCAGTGTTGTATCTCTTATTTTCTCCTCTTCCACCCAATCTCACCCCTTTACAGAAAGGCCTTGGACCCAATGAGTGTGTTTGTCCACTCATCATTTCGAGCGATGAGACCACATTGAGTGGTAATGAGCGATGCCGTGCTTGGCCTGTGTACCTTACCTTTGCCAATCTATCTGTCGATACGAGATGGAAGGAACATGGTAGGACAATGATAGCGCTCCTTCCACGTCCGGATCCAGAGATGGAAGCGTGGCAAAAGGTGGAGCTGTTCCAAAAGAGTTGTTCTGCGGTTTTTGAAAGCCTCATGCGATTTTGCAAAACGTACGTGTTGATGCTGGGATATTGTGTTCAGAAGTAGTTTTGCAGCGTTATGTCTACTACTTATTCACGTTTTTCCTGTGTGTCATTGTTCTTGGCTTTGGAAGTTCTTTGCCCTTAACAGATCCTAGCGGCAAAGTTTGGACAGTTTGGTTCAAACTGTTCGAGTACGTCGCTGATTATCCCGAGACGTGCAAAGTCACATGCACGATGCAACACAACTCGGCGCGCCGCTGCTCGATCTGCTACATTGAGAAGTCGCAGTTGGACAACATGGATCCGAGCATCATCAAGTACAGGACTGTCGAGCGACAGATGAAGTACGCCAAGGACGCTAAGTTGGCGAAAGAATACTCAACAGTCATGATGGATGTAAGTTTCTAAGTAAATAATGACGCATTTTTGGGGTTTGCATAGTGGTTACGACACGCTAAGATGCAATTGCAGCACTCCTTTTGACCTTGGTTGTGATACAATATGATTCACCAGATTTGTTACTGTCTATCTTCCCGTGTATCCATGTCCCTTTCTGTAGACTTTTTTGTGGCATTTCGGCAGGCAGAAAGATGCTGAGAAGGAATGGGGAAATCCATATCAAGTTATCCAGCCGGATGTGTTACAGGTGATCCTGATTGGGCTGTGGGTGTACATCTTGGAAGCATTGGTTTTCAAGAACAAAAACATTAAGACAATGAATGAGTGAGTTTTGAACTGGCCTAAATCTCTTAAAGCAACCTCTAGCATACTGATATCGTGATGTATATATCCTTAAATCCTTGTACAGACGACACCGTGATCTGTACTGGGAGGCACGATCAGCAGGGATTAAGCTCCCTCCACCAGGACGCTATTTCAGCCTTGGAGCCAACTACTCCGCCTCGGATCATGCGGGAATGTTGCGTGTAAGTGTTCTTGACTGTTTGTTAGAAAACACAACAATGTTCAGTTCAATTGACCATGCTACCAACACGTGGCCTTGTGTGATGCAGGTGGCCGTGTTCATCATGGAGGGCCTCATTGGAGGTGCGGGAATGTATATACTGCATTTTTTTGTAAACTGGTTTGATACCTATTTTAGAGCAACGTCCTACACGAAGGCGTCGTTGGAGAAATATGTGACTGATACCCAAGAGTAAGGACTCTGGCTTGCAAGTTATGAACGAGCACTCACTTGAAAAGATTGTATGTTCGTACAATTCCTAAACCATTATTTGTGATGTTTTGCTCTTTGGTGACAGGTTGATCCGGCTGCTAACAACCAATTTGCCACGCGGGGGAAATGGGTGGAAGTTGGTGAAGGTTCATTTGCTGTTGCACTTTCCTGATTCAATTCGACGAGGTGGTTTACCTAGGGAGTTTTGTACTAGCATGTTCGAGCATGCACACACTGCTTCATGTAAGCGACCGTTTCGAGCCTCTAACTATCGCGAGTATGATGCAGCAATCATGCGCAGTGCGGTGATGCGCAATGCCTTGTCCCTATTGCCAACTGATCTCCTTCAAAGCAAGCGCTACAACACTGCCCTCATGAAGGTAATTGATTCTGGATGGTTCCTATTGCCCTTGTAAATCCCGTTTTATTGTGTGTCATAAGTATCCACATCTTGTAAACATTGTCTCTAGATTCAACCCCTCTACACCAGGCCATAGCACTCAACACTCACGCGCTGACATCTCGATACAACACCATGTTTTTGCCGTGCCGCGAGAGTGGGATTGTTGGCGATGTGTTGTGGGACTCGTTCGTTACTCATCATGGAGCGGGAATGCGGTCCTTTCCTCAGCTGCTCAAGAGTCTACAACTGCCCGCTCAGTCTGTGGAGGTATGGTTTCTGGAAACGGTAGCCGCAATCGTTAACAAAAACAGTATCTCTGTTGGACTCACATCCTGAATGAAATATAACATTCCTTATCCGTTCAGGTACATTCATCAATCGCATTGCCACCAGGGGATAACTATGAGGCGCATTATGCACGTGCGGCATTGACTTTC